ATGCTCCTCTTTCTCTGCTGTGTTTTCTTCCCAACAGAAAGGCGACTCAAAGCCCCCAGCCAAGCCTTCCCACTGCACCATCTATGTTGCCAAGAGATACCCTCCATGGCAGCACAGTGCCTTATCTCTGCTCGGCAAGCACTACAAGGTGACAAACTAACAAACAATATTCATACAGACATTTGCAATTTGTTACATGTGAAAGCACAATGGTCCATGGCACAGTGATGCACTGAAATACTTGCCCTTGTATTTTAAATGATCACTGAAGTTATTCCATGTCGTTCACATCTCTCTGTGTCTATATGCTCCTGGCCGGCTGTATGTTTTACACAGCTGTTTTTGTTGTTGTTTTCTCTGTGTCTTTCCAGAGCGACAACGGAGCCCTTCCAGACAACAAGGTGATCGCGAGTGAGTTGGGAGCCCTGCCTGACCTGAAGAAGTACATGAAGAAAGTCATGCCTTTTGTAGCGATGATCAAGGTACATCTGGGGGAGGCAGGAGCACAGTGAAGGAGCATTTGTGTGTCTGTGTAAAGGCACACACTGTCCGTTCTCCATCGTTCTAGAGAGTCTAACATGGACAATTTATTAGTGCATATTCATCTTTTTTAAAATTTAATGTCTGTATTCTGCACATATTTGCCTTTTAGCTCCTTTTTGTGTTGTATTGTTTTTCTCTGCCTTATTCAAGTTGAGTTTGTTTACCACCTAAGAAACTGCTCAAGGTGGCTTATATCTTTTGTTTGGTTTTTGTTGTCCTGGTACTTTGAGTATGCATCATTAAATGCTGTTTTCTTTTCTTTTCTTATTCCTCTTTGTGTTGAACAATGACCAAACTGTAGCCAATATTGTCTGAACAACAGTGTTGCAAAGAAATGTCTGGGATTCTTAGTTTATTGATTGAAAGAGTACAAAACATGCTTTTGACAGACTGTCTCTGCTTGTTATTATGCATCTTTGCTACATTCATAAACATTTGAAAATGTTTTTATTTTTTATCTGTCCTTGTCTCCACATTTTCACATTTTGGCTGCTTTGCTTTTAGATTACATTAAATTCCTATCAAATTGCAAATTGCATCACGTCTAGTTAAGGTGTCTGTTGATCAAATACCAGCATTCACTAAATACATTTGGGCATGACAAGTTGGTAAATATTAGAAAAACTTTATTTTTCTTCAATAGTCTCATGATGGCAGCATTAGCATGACGATTATCTTATCTCCATAATGCTAGATTGTTTTTTTTAGTTTTTGTTCTATTTAGCAACGTTAACTTCCTGTTCGTTCCTCAGGAAAAGTTCACGTCCATCATTCGTGCTCGTATTGTTTGATTGATTTTGACTATTTGGGTTCTGCAGGAGAACCTGGAGAAGAACGGGCCAAGGGTCTTGGATCTGGAGCTGGAGTTTGATGAGCGGGTGGTTTTGATGGAAAATCTGGTCTACTTAACCAATTCTCTGGAGGTATGTTTGGGGATCATTTCTGAAGTCAGACATGACATAAAAGTGTCTGTCCAATCTAAAAGCACGTCTGGCAGCTCTACATTTGTGTGAGTGCAGAGTTAAAGACGGGATAAAACACTACATTCAGCTCTAGCAATATATTGTTATCTCAAATGTGAGCAATAAACAGAACAAGTTCACTCGATTCAGTTCTGTTTGTCGTCACAATGTCGAGCTGTAACATGCAGTTGCAGCATTTTTGGTTTCCTCAAAAATACCTCAGCTTTAAAGCTGTTTTGCTACTTTTGCAAAAGTCAGTTGAGACAACCCTGAGCTCAGTTGTCAGTCAGGAAAGCCCTTAATGCTTTTGTCTGCAAAGAGGCTTAGCCGAGTCGAAAGTAGAACCTGAGTCCCTAAGATACTTTAGTCAAACCAGCACACATTTAACCACAGAAAGAAAACGACGTCAAACTAATACCCTGAATCCATTTCCAATCTTTCGGATAGATCATAGCTAAAATAATAAGCTGCCGCAGAGAAGAAAAAGTGATGGAGAAATATGCTTTATGATGTAGCACTGAAAAAAAGTGATGTATTACTTACCTCTCAAACATAACACTGTGAATGTGGCTCAACTGATTTGAACCTTAAATCTGTTTTTTGAGAAACAAACACTGCAGTCTTGCCTTTTGGATGGTGTGTGGTTGTTTATGCTGCAGATATGGATGTGTTTCTATGGGCACTTTGTGACTTCTTTCTTTCCTGTGTTTAACTAGTTTACAACACTGTTACTCTGTGCCATCTCAAACTGAAATACCATCCCCGATTTTGAACGTGTGAGCGACGAAGCCAGATGTTTGTCTCTCTGATCTCTGCAGGAGCCAGATTAACACCACCGCTGTTTGCCAGTTCGCATACTAAACGCACCTGTACACACACAATCCGATAGCGGATTGATCTCGGCTGATAATCCTTCTTTTTCCACATCCTCTACAGCTGGAACAGATCGACATCTTGTTTGCGTCTGAGGCTGACGACAGAGTGAAGGAGGACTGTTGCCCGGGGAAACCGTTCTGTGTTTTCAGAACAGAGGTAAATGCTTTTGGCTGTGCTGGCTGCTCTTAAAGCAGGTTGCATGCGAGTCTCTCTTAGAGGGCAGGTGTACGCTTCTTTTTCAGCCACATGTTTCTCAGATTTTGTGACCTGCATATTCGCAATATGTTCCTGTTTTTATGTGTTTATCTCTGTAGGTGCTTGATTACCTGTGTGCATCCCTTCTGCAAGAGTGTCTGTGTTTCCCAGATGAACAAAATATGTGTTTGCGCACTCAAATCAACAATTAAATTGAGTGTTTGCGCATTTGTGTTTGTGCCTCTATTTCCCCAGCCTGGAGTGTGTGTGTCCCTGGTCAACCCTCAGCCGTGCAACGGGCAGTTTTCCACAAAGGTTGACATCCGCCAGGGAGACAGCGGAGACAGCATCATCCGTAGGTTAGCTAAGGTCAACAGACTCATTAAAGGTTAGTAAGATAAATGGATATACAGCACAAATTCATAAACTATGGTTGGGAACCCAAGATAGGTCTGTTTAAACAACAGATAATCTAAATTGGATGGAAACATTTATTCTGATCTTGAGTCAAAGTTCACAAAGTTGTGCTCAGATTATTCATCTTTTTCGTGGAATAAATTACATCACGTCTTGGTGGCTCAGCTAACATATTATGTTACTGATGTCTAACAGCCTCCCAACCTTGTTTCAGTCTTTGCCATCTGCCATCCTTGTGCACAACGACTGGTGAAGGGAGTGGCTAAATGATGATCAATTAACTGTCTACTTCCATACCGTGAATCCAGTGTTCCCCCATTGTCTTAAAGCCAACTCTTCGAGCAATTTCGACAAGCCCCGGTTTTTTAGATAATGCAGTTATGACATTAAATATCCATCCACATTTGATTTTAACCATCATTCTATCCAAAACCAAGCTATGTGCTTTATGTGATGGCAATTTACCCACCCACTTCCCCTTGTGACGTTCTCTTTCACAATCATCACTTCAACGCAGTGCTTAGCTTCCCTCTCTGCTCTGATTCTCCATTTCCTCCATCACTCACTACCCTGATCAGCTTTAACATTCTCTGCACTCTTTCCCTGCCATCATTTCATACCTCCTATGTGTCTCACCTCCACCTCTTATTGTGTAATTCTTCCATCCCTTTCCCTCTTTCTCCATCTTTTGTCACTCTCTCACACACACACACACACACACACACACACCTCTCTGACTCTGCCTGACTCCCCTCCACCAGATCTGTCCAGAGTCAAGTTGATGAGGTACGAGGACCCTGTGCTGGGGCCTCGCCGGGTGCCCGTCCTGGGACACGAGGAACAGGGCAAACTGGCCATCTCCAACAAGTCGGTGTTCAACATCAACCTGGAGGAGAAGAGGGTCACTCTGGCCGACAACGGCCTCTCTGTGGACATCGGGAACTCTCTGGTTTATCTGGTTAATTAGAGTTACATTCTCTCTCTCTCTCTGTCTCTCTCTCTCTCTCTCTCTCTCTCTCACACACACTCACACACACACACACACACACACAAGCATATGTCGGCACATTCAGCAGTGAATTATTTGTGAAAGGTTCAAATGCGTCATTAATTGTTGCCACAAAAAGGGTAATTTTGACTCAAAGCCATAAAACAGTGACTCAAACATATATCTGTGTTTTATAATTCGTGTTTTATAATTCATGTTTCTGTGGATGTGACCATTTGTTGTGCACCTTTTTCACTGCTGAATGTGACCTCAGTGAGCATCTAAAACTAATGGGACCTCAAGAGTGTGCTTCTGTCCTCTTACAAAAACATGTGCAATAGTAGTACATCCGGATCTGGTTTTGTTCTGCACAAAACGGATGGTTCAGGGTCAACCCTGTCCCTGGAAAATCAGAGGATATTGGATCTTTGGTACTAAAATTAGGGTTCTTTAATGGTGTGAAAAAACAAGCCATTTTGAAAATATCCTGTACTTTCCCTTAAGGATTTTGTATTGGAGGACAGCACCAGGATTTGTATTCTGTTCCGTCTTTTCATCGTCTGTTTAAGTTGAATCTCGTTATTTTTCTCAATGAGTCACTCTTTCCTGTTTGATATGATGCCCAATAAATCTATAATTAAGCTCTTTGCTTTTTCTGAAGGGGACGAACAAAAATCTACCACCATGTCCTAGCCAACAACATATGTTATTACATGGTGCGACTGCTCCTGCAGCCTCCTCAATGCCTGTGTTGTTTTTTCATATAGATGGTAATGTGCCTGCTGTGTTTCATACATTGAAGGTGAGGCACATCATTCCCTCATGTTTTGTCATCCTTTCAGACGGCTTTCCTATTTTCGAGCAGTGGATGGTGCTTGTCTCACTTGTGCTTTCCAGAGAAATAATAAAAAACCTATGAAATTTTCAAGCTCCTTGTTTATTGTTTCTCGCTACCCTCTCCATGCGGTTTCATTTTTTTCGAAGGAAATAAATAGGACGACTGTTTCCCACAAGAATAGGGCTTGTGTGAGTCATGGCTTTGCTGAGGCCATTGGATGTTTGTCCCTTTTAGTGTAGATGGTGAGGGACCGGATCATCTTGTAATGTGAGCAGTCTTCTGATGAGGACGATGTGGAACAAGTGTAGATGTGTCGGGTTAGAGGTTGTACGAATTTGGCATAAACAAACCTACTGGTAGTATTTATTGGTGACTTGGAATGGGGATTTAAAAAGGAGATAGAACAGCCAATAAATGCTCCTGTTGACTGAATAAATCAGTGTTATCAACATTTAAAGGACATGTTCTACATTTAGGGGAATAAACTTGCTTTATTGAGTATTAGAGAAGGAGATTGATACTGCCCACATGTATACTCAAACTTGAAGGTATTGCCTGCAACGCATGCAGACTGGAAATAGCTAGCCCAGCTCGGGCCTGTATACTTTCTGTCTCCGCTGGTTGCCTGGCAACCAGTCCAGGCAGGAAAGCCTCTACGTTGACCTGAAAGCAACGGGGCAAAGAGCTGAAACCGTAATACCGTAACAGCGATGCGATATAACGACGTTGCATGAAAAAGGATACCTTGTTGGAGCTCAACTTGCAAGTGAGTGAATCCAGGTCAGTCATGTTTGTTCATGAATATACTTCTAAGTTAATGTATCTATCACATCTTTTTTCTATTTCAGAACTGGGTTTGGCTCTGCGGTTCGCTGCTTCAAAAAGGTAGAACGACTTCCCAACAGGGTTCACTGTCAGTTAAACATCTGCCGATAATCATTTTCTTTTTATTTCAAGGATTCCATTCAACTGTAATCCTTTTGATGCTTCTGTTTTTGATGCATCGCCTACAAATTAATGACAGCATAATAGGTTATACCTTTCTTATCCTGGGAAGGAGCTAGAAAAGCATCCACTCATGGAGTAAATTACATGTTTCTCCCAATTTTAAGACTCGATGTGAGTGAACTGTCTGGGCCTCTCAACCCACGATGGTTGCACTACATGTCCTTCCACCACGTAAAGCTCCCCACACTTCTCTCTTCTGTCACCCTCTCACACACATACACACACACACCATCAGTCTGAATTTAAAAGGTCAAAGTCAGAGCAGGAAATGCATGAATGTATTTCTTTAGTTCTAAAATGCATCTTTCACTTCCCAGCTCTCTACTGCACGAGTCTGTTTCTGCCTCTGTCTGCTGGTAAGTGTAACCGTATGTTACATTTCAAATGTCTTTGAATATCATAGGTCAAGCAAACTGTTAGAATTGACGTAATGTGTTTGAGCTTTTATTTGACATCCATCATTTTTACTTAATTTCCCATATATTCGTGCATGTTTTAGATGTCCTGTGTATCTCTGTTTCAGACGACTCATGTAAATAAGTAATCACTCATTACAAGATTCCGACCTCCTGGTGGGTTTGTGTTAAAGTGTTTGAATGCATTCACATCTGATTATTTTATGCCAGATGTTCATGCAGCTCGATGTGCATCTGCACCGTTTGCATTCGCTGCATTAGCGGGGGGGGGGGGGGCACGCAGCAAAGTCACAGACAGAAGGCAACTATACAAGACTTATCTCTGTCACACAGCTTCTAGGCTGAGCCATTCGACTGCTGGTTTATCTGCTCCAACGCACACCCTCTCACTGGGGAAGTGTCACTCCCCCTCCACCTCCTCATTCCTGCTGACTCCCTGCTCGCCCTGTCCTCTCTCGCCTCCTCGCCTCAGCCCTCTCTGGATGCCAGTGGCTTCTAGTAATGGAGCAGCTGACAGTCACACACCAGTAAGTGCATTTTCTTGTCTCTCCTGGTACACATTGTTGTCACCACTGAGCACAATGGATTTACAGCAAACAGCTCACTTATCTTATTATGTTTTTGGTTTTTTGTACTCCTTCGTTTCCTCTTAATCTTGTTCTCCTTTTATGTCTCTATGATAAATGATAATGCAAATTAAACACGAACATTTCTTAAATGCTGCATTCTAACATTTGTGGTGATTTAAGTGTTGCTGAAGGCCTTAACACTTGAATGCAAGAATAAATCATGTATCATAAATAGTGGTAGGATAATATTAGTGGGATAATAGTGGACAGTTTTATATTAGGCCAGCGGAGTACAAAACATGCTGCTCAAGAAAAGATTATTGAAACAAATAAGATTTCAGCTTAGAAAATTAATTTCTAATTTAAGACTCATTTAACATTATGCCTACAGCAAGCTATCAGTTAGAGGCTTGACAAGCCATGATGAATTTATCAGCCTTCCATCTAAAGACAAATATGATTTAAAAAAAAAAAAAATCTAATTTCAGACCAAGGCCGTCAGTCACCCGGGGCTCAGCATCAGCGTTTCAAGAGGAGGAAGTGGGGGGCTTCACCACAGGAAGTAAAGATGACTTGAGGTCAAACAGTGTTCCTGCAGTGACAGACCCAGCACTCACACAGCCCGGCCTCGGCATCACAACGACGACCATCACCACCATCACACAGACGGGAGGAGACTGGAGCACTGGCCTGTTTGACGTCTGCGGAGACAAGACTACATGTAACACGAAAACACAGACGGAAGCTGTATTCTCATATACGCTCAGTGCCCTCACACGCCAATCAGAACTTTATGACGTATTCTTCGTATCATTTTTTGTTCTTAGTTTAGTCTTTTGTCCGTCACAAGCAAACACACATTGCTCACACACACACACACACACACACACACACACACATTGTGCTTACCCTGTGCTTGCAGGTGTCCTTGGGGCCCTGGTGCCGTGCTGTTTAGACCTGAGTTTAGCTCACCAGTATGGAGAATGTCTATGCATGCCTCTGCTACCGGGATCCACTTTTGCCATGCGGGTTGGGATCAGGGAGCGGTACAAGATACGGGTGAGTGTGCGTCCTTGAACACACCAATAAGAAGACTTCAAAAAAACATTTTGTTTTGACTCCACAATAAATGGAAAGCCGATAGCTAACAGTAGATAATCAATTCAATAACATTACTAAATGCGTTCACTTTTAAGTTGCGCGAGTGAATTTTTGTTTTCATGTCTTTTCATGTAATGCACCTCATGGTCCTGGACCTGTTCCTGCTGTGTCGTTGTGTCTACACGTGTGCTTCTTTTCTGTGTGTTTGCATGTACGTGTACGTGTACGTGTGTGTGTGTGTGTGTGTCTGTCCGCATATTTATCCACAGGGAAGTGTGTGTGAGGACTGGACCACAGTGTATTGCTGTTACCCTCTGGCTGTATGTCAGATGATAAGGGAGATGAAGCGGAGGATGAAGACACTGACCTATCATGTGTCCACTGCCCTCGAATGCTAATGAGGAAACTCTAGCCAGTAGATGAGGCCTGTCCTTCACAATGCAACAGAGACGAGTGAGGGACATCTAAGGCGTACTGTAGCACCAAGGATCAATACCATAAGGTTTTTAAATGCCTTGGACAGTGAATCAAGCCTATCCCACAACTTTCAAAGAAGTCTGGAAAAGATGAACTTTCATTTAACAATAAACAGCAAACAGAATCATTGTGTAGGGCCTGTAATTGAAACCTATACCTTCATACTGCTGTTGGGCCTCTTTTTAGAGAGGATATTATAAATAAACTTGGAAGCAATATTCTGCTTTCCTTGCAGAGGCAAGAACTCATCAACTACATTTTGAGTCGGGTGAAAAGCAGGTGGCAAGACGCAGGCTTTTCTTTTGGTTTCAGTCGCTGTCAGCAAACAGCACTAAACATCTGGTACAAGTCTGTCATACAACAGAGACTTCAAAAAGCAGCCAACTGTCTTTAATTCTAAAAGCACGCAATTAATTCCATCTCAACTCAAAAAAAGGCAGTACTTCAATTAAGCTCATTGTCAACAGTTCAAAGTGACAATTTCATTAGTAGAAAGTGGTACAAATCATGTGAGAAAAGGGATTCGGGTGAACCGACCCTTTAATTTTGCCTCGCATTCCAGAGGCATGAGGGGGGGGAGATGAAGTGAGGAAACGTACAACTTTCTACTGTAGACCTTGATGGACAAATTGTGAACTTGAGACATGACTCAACATGATCTCATTTTCAGCATTACATTTAAAACTAAATCCAAGTAAAGCAGGAGAGCCACTTAAAAGCCGAGTGTGCTCAGCCATTTGGTTTCTTAAGGAGACCTCATTGATTTTGAGAGTTTTTTTTTTAATTTCAGAGTGTGGAATGAAAACTAGTGTGCGAGTCCATTCAGTATGCAGAACCACTTGTCTGATTACCCGGCAAACAGGCCGCAGCATTGCTCCGATTACAGTCAACAGTTCAAGTACAGTCTGACGATAATAAAGTCCATTTCCATATTTCAGATTTTCTTTTATCCCCCTGTGCTTTAGTTTGCATTCAATCACATTATCAATCCAGTCCTGATCGCTGTGGTTCCCTGGACCCGAAATGCCAACCAGCGTGAACGAGTGTGTGGAAAATGTTATTTCTACACAAAGCAGATGGGTCCTCAAAGGGCAAATATGTAATTTGTTAACTCTTGCGGATGTGGTCCCCGTACCTGGCAGCTGCTTCAAACGAAATGGGGAAAGAGAAAGAAAATGGATTTGGTCTCAAAAAGGAGAGTGATGTGAATAATAAAATCTAATCGTATTTTACTTACTGTACAGTTAATCTGCTGCATGAAAATACATATATTTAAATCATTGCAAGTGTAAATTTATCTGTTTTTTTTTTTTACTTCGTTACATTTTTTATTTATTTAATTATTTCTATTTACAAATTCCCAGCTGACAAACATGTTTAAAATAATATGTTCACCCAGTTATAGACTAAAATAGAGCATATACTGGTACAGATAGATACAACTGCCCCCTATAAGCTACAATAGCTGCCATCCCATGTGACGTCAGCTGCTGTTTACAAGTGCTGTTGCATTATTTTCAGTCCTCACTTACCTGTTCAAGTAAAAAAAAAAATCATTCTAAGTTTCATGACAGCTGTAACATACTGTAGGTTCCACATGGCCACGGCGGTAATAAGCTCAGCAGTATCTTACTTATGTCTGCATTAGGGCACCAGCGTTTCCTGAGCAGCCCCGGTTGGATACATCTTCCTGCGTCTCCACCGCTCTCTGCCTACTGGGGGTTGTTAGTGAGCAGAGCTGCCTTCAGGCACTGTGGTAACATCTCTCCCTCCCTGTGCAATGTCCAAGTGTTATTGCTTCAGCATCAATAGCTTTAAATTGGGTTGCTAAATTGGAAATTTATCTGCTTCGCAAATCAAATACACCCTTAAAATGTCCTACATGCTTTCAAACTTTATATGTGTATTTACACATATATTTGTCTATATTTATTTTCAAACTGCTCCTTCCAAAGTATTAGTCATTACAGGGGACATTTAACTATCCTCCCAAGCCGCCATAAAAGGCTGTTTTCCCTGCCTAAGCAATGCATGATGCATGACCTGCATCATGCATCCTCCAGTGTTCAGATTTCTACTGTTAAAGGGTCAGTTCATGCAATTTATTATCAAATTTGGGGTGAACTGACCCTTCAATTATGTCACATGTGTGCTTTACTGCTGTTTCATGAAACAAAACCCCAAATACAGCGAACGAAACAAGGAACCCTTGTGTGTGCTTACAGTTAAACCTCAAACCTATTTACATCTTGCACGTTTGCTGTACCGTCACACAGACACACACACACACACACACACTGACACAGCCTGGCCTTACGTCATCTGTCGGATACACTTCCATGACTGGACCGTTAGGGGGCAGTGTTGTCCCAGATCTGGATCCCTTTTGTCTGTTTTCTATTCCCACAGCTGCTTAAGTCTTAAGTGTCGATCTGAGGTCAGAGTTGGGAATTCCACAGCAGTCGTAGAGGTCAAGATTTGGAACAGTGAAGCCCATCCTAAGTCAGCAGTCGGACAGGGACCATAAAACATGTCTGCTGATGTTCTTTCCTGCTGTTTCAGCATCGGAGACGACTATCCCCACAGATGCATCAGGTGTAGAGTACAGGCTGTTATCAAGAACAGCACCTCAGGGAGTTGTGTTTGTGTGGGTGTGGAAATGTGTGTGATGTATGTATCCGAAAAGACTTTCCCCATGATTGTGCTCATTGCGCGGTGTTACTGGTACAGAGAAACAACCAGTAAACAGATAAAATACAAAACACAGCGCAGGGGGTAGATCATGCCCTCCAGAGCTGCCCACGTGACTGAATAACAACCAGCTGAAGGCGTGAGTGTTTGTGCTTTCCCCAAACTACACACTGACATTTCTGATATGGCTTTTTAATGGATTTCCCTTCTCTTTTCCCGTCTGTCGTCTCTACCTCCTGAATGCATTTCCTCTCGACGGTCTTTTCGTTCTTGCCTTCCCTCCATCCCCCCTTTCTCCTCAATCATTTCATTTCTTCTCCCCCCTTTGCCCTCTTTTATTTATTTCCTCTTCTTCCCGACTCCTGCTAGTGTGTGTGTGTGTTTGTGAATAAAGAGAGGCGAGAGAGGGAAAGAG